AAAAAAAAAAAAAAAAAAAAAAAAAAAAAAAAAAAAAAAATCTAAAAGCTTCCCATACCAGCCAACTGCCAAAAAAAAAAAAAATCTAAAATACCTCAGGAAAACCCTGGTTCTGGGTTGTAGGACTGAGCTGCTAGCTTTGAGGACATAGTGGCAAATTTAGTCAAGTTACTTAACGTTTGTCTGCCTGGGGCCAAAAGGACAAGCAATGGACTCTTGCGGAATCAGTATCCGCGGGCCCAAGGGAAGCACTGGGCCGCCAGCTCCCAAGGTATTAAAAATTCCTGCATTAACTCTCCTGTACGAAAACATCCTCTCCCACCTCACTCTACCAAACAGAGCACCTGCCTCTGGCTGGGCGGGACCAGGCCCGGGGCATCACTCTGATACAGATTTTACTCCTCTCTGGGAGAGCCCTGCTCAGAGCAGGCAAGCACAAGGCCACGATAACCATTAAGGGGCTCAGCAACTGTTTTCTTCATCCAAAATCATTTAAAATGTTAAAAGTATTCTAATTAGCTCTTTAAGCAGCATATTCCATAGAAGCTCATATATTCCATATAAGCTCTGCCATGAGTTGCTAAGCTAGGACTCTGACCAAGCTGGGACAAACAGCCAGAGGAGGAACCCACACCCACTCCCGCCTCCCCTCTAGCTCCCTCACTCCCTCATCACCCCCATGCAGTGTTGCAGCAAGAGTATGTTGCTTCTTTTGTTAAAGTACTTGGTGGTTAGCTTTCCAAGGCAGGAACCTCGCTAGCTTATAATTACAAACAATGTGCTATGATTGGTTCTCTCCCAGGGTCTCCAACAAGAGAAGCTAAACTCTTGTGGCCTTAACGATACAAGGACATTAAGAGACAAGGGGGCCATCACACAGAGGTTGGTCAGAGGGAGGGATGGAGGGAGTGAGATTTCCAGAATGGGACAGGAGCGTGGATGCCAGAACAGAGTGGAAGAAGAGCGTTCAAGGGCCAGCTCGTGGTTCACTTGGGAGAATGTGGTGCTGACAACACCAAGTCCATGGTTAAGATCCCCTTACCAGTCATCTTTAAAAAAAAAAAAAAAAAAGAAGAAGTTCAGAGGGAGAGAGAATGAAAATTGGGTTCATTCATTCATCAGGGCCAAATGTGTGGTGCAATGCTGCGATGCCGGTGCCACCCACGTTCTAGATGGACAGCCAGACAAGTAAAGGGCTGACCAAGAGGCCACAGGGTCAGTGAGGAGAGAAAGTCGTGCCTTGGGCACCAAGGAGCAGCTCTCTCAGCCTTGCAGGAGGGTCAGGAGCTTCCCAGAGGAGGGAGGAGGCTGGGCCAAGGCCTGAGGCAGTGAGAGGTGTGGAGGAGAGCGGAGCCTGGGAGAAGTGTTTATTTGCAGGGCTGGGGGAGGGCTGTGACCTAGCAGTATGGGGCAGGAAATCTCCCAGACAAAAGTGAAGAGGGCTGGGGGATGGGCGGGTGGCTCAGCACCCCCCAGGGTTGGGAAAGAAGCCATTTCCTCCATGCTGGGTCACTTCAGGCCGACCTTACTCTGGCCTCAGTTTCCCCACTGCACTTGAGAGGGAAAAAGGCAAAGACTTTGAGCTCTAAGGATGAAAGGCTCAGCCACAGCCCAGACCACCACTCCCTGTAAAACAGGGCGGGTGACGCCGGCCGCTCTTTTTGGCTGGTGAGTAGCCCGATCATCTTTGAAGATGAAACATGCTTGGGCCTAACGCGGAGTCAGTTGGCTGAGGTGGGACAGGGGCCCAGTAACCTGCCCCACCTGCCCCTCCCAGTCAGAACAGTACCCAGCTCGGGGGACAGGACACACCCATTTCACTCTTTTCTGCACCTGGGCACCCCCCAGCCCCTGCCTCCTGTCCGGCCTTTCCTGGGGCAGTGCCTCTCCCTCCTCTGTCCCTGGCTGCCTTGCTCTCAGAAGCAGAGGGCAAGGAGAGCCCGCAGGTCTCGGGCTGCAGTAAAGGCGCTCTGAGAGCTGCCCTTTCCACTGCCCTGGACCAGCACACTCTAAAATTTGGGGCACTCTGCTGAGACCCACTGGCCCCTCCATATGTTTCCAAGCCAAACAGGCCATTTCCGATATGGCAGCCAGGCAGGGGGTGCTTTCTAAGACTCCTTTACATGTGTGAGAACAGTCCTCAAAATAAAGGATACCCTCAGCCCGCTCATTCTTCCCCTTCCCTGGCTGTTGAATGGCCATCTTCTGCTACCAGACATGCTCTGAATGGGGCAGATGGAAGCCTCTGGCCTGGCAGCAGCACACCTCTGCCAGGTAATTCTGGGGGTCAGGCCTCCAAGGAACCTGGAGACCACACTCTCCACCTGCTGGACCAGATACAAGCCTCTTCTCTCTCACCACTCCCCTCTTCTTCCTTCCCCCTGCCCAGGCCCCCTTGTGTCTGCTCAGACAGACCACCCCCAGGGGTTGACCCCACCTCCTTTCTAGAGCCCCCATAACCAGCTCCAGTTTCCTGGGAAATGCTTGGCAGAGGAGAAGAGGCTTGCAGGTAGCTCACACCCTCCTGGGAGGAGCAACCTCCTAAATGCACTAATATTAGACACAACTGAAAGATAACCTTCCCTACATGCTCCAGAAGAGCAGCATGTACCTGCGGATATCGTATCTTCTTAATGGTTCATTAGTGTTCATTAAGTAATTAATTCACTTATCTGATTTGCAAAGTGATGCCCAAAGGTTGGACTTTTGGATCATCAACATTCAACTCTGAGTAAGCTTTTGGAATTACCATCTTCCTAAATTAGTAAGATCCCTATCTCCATTCTTCATCCCCAAGTCCCCAGGGATGGGAGAGCTCACTGAGATCTATCCCCCTGATTGCCATGGAGCTTGGTCTGGGACTCCCAATTTCAAGTCCCCAACCCCCCACAGTCCTACTCTAACATTCACCCTGGGGACCACAGGCCTCACTGCTCCAAACCCCACAACTCCCAGGCCCTGGGGTATCTCATTGCCCTGACTTCTGCCAAAGCTTGGCTTTCAGGAAAGCTGGGAAGTGTCTGGGAAGTCAATTAGAAAGAACTGGGAGCAGGCCAAGGACTCAGCCTTAGTGACAACCATAGTGAAAAAGAACAGGGCGGCTGGGCCCAGCTCTGCTTTACAGGAGAATAGGATACCTCTCACATCCAGACATTCCCTGCAGTTCTCGTTAATGTACTCCAATGCCCCCTACTCCCCACACCAGCATTTCAGCTCCTGAATTCCCTCTAAGACCAACCGAAGACCAACCGAGAACCCCACAGCTAATGAAGCCATGCCAGGCTATAGAGGGTCCAGTGGACACACAGGGCCAGGCGGACATGCTCCTGCACACCTGCGCACAGTGTCCCCCGTGCCTGTGTGAGTGGCATGGGCAACGGCACTAACTGCAGGCTTTGGAGAGATGATGAGCATGTCCTCTCAGCACAGGGAGGCAGCATGCTGGTCTCTGTCCTGGCATGGTGGACTGGTAGCCATAAAGACCCGCAGGCTGTGCAATGTGGACAGCCCTGCCTTCCCCTGCTACTTGTGGTGGTGGCACCTTGGCAGAGGCGGGCAGGTGCTGGGTGCTCACCTTGTGGTCTAGCTCGGCACTGGCCTTTGGCTGTTGCTCCTGGCAGGGTGGCAAGGGCTCAGAGCCCAGGTACTGCCTGAGGGATGATGGCTTCATAAGGCTCAGGAGCTGGCTGAGTGAAGACAGCTGGGAAGGAGAAGGGAGGCCGTCAATCAGGGAGGGCAGCAGCCGAGAGCTCGGGCTTGGGGTGCTCCAGGGACTCTTGGCAGCACCACACTCACCCAGTGAGCTAACCGGCCATCCCTATATGGGATCCGAACCCGTGGCCTTGGTGTCGTCAGCACCACACTCTCCCGAGTGAGCCACGGGCCGGCCCTCCAGGGACTCTTGGCAGCACCACACTCACCCAGTGAGCTAACCGGCCATCCCTATATGGGATCCGAACCCGTGGCCTTGGTGTCGTCAGCACCACACTCTCCCGAGTGAGCCACGGGCCGGCCCTCCAGGGACTCTTGGCAGCACCACACTCACCCAGTGAGCTAACCGGCCATCCCTATATGGGATCCGAACCCGTGGCCTTGGTGTCGTCAGCACCACACTCTCCCGAGTGAGCCACGGGCCGGCCCTCCAGGGACTCTTGGCCTGGACACCTTGGCTGGTGGCAGTAGGTCAGAGCACAGGATTCCAAGACCTGGGTCCATCTCTGACTTATGAGCTGTGTGGCTTCTTGGAGCTTGAGTGTTCTCATCTGTAACATGGACCACACACCTTCCCAGGAGAGGAGGGACACACACACACAGTGTCTGGCATACCGTGAGCCCTTCCTTAAAGAAGTGACTAGGAAGGTGTCTTAAGGCGTAAGGTTTAATCCACTTGCCCGGAGAACCAAGAGCAGGAGAGAGGTCTCTCCTCTGCATGAGCGAGGCCCCGCCCACCCCAGCTGCCTCTCCTCACCTGCCAGCCCACTCTCCCCACCTGCCAGCCCACTCTCCCCACCTGCCAGCCCACTCTCCCGAGTCCCTTCTTTTCATTTACTTCGTCACTGGGGATTTTCAACATATGTGAAGAGGAGCGACCTGGTACTGAGCCCCCACCTATCCCTCACCCGGAGCAATGACCACAGTCACCATCACTCCGCCTTGCCCATTCCCTCATCCCTGCTCTGCTCTTTACCTTCCAGAGAATAAGAATAAGGAGTTTTTCCCCAATTTAATCACAATACCATTTTCTTGCCCAACGAAATTACCAAGAATTCTTTATCATCATCCAACACCTGTGTTCAGTTTTCTTGGGATTGTCCCACGAATATCCTTTTACAGTTGGTCTGTTCAAATGGGGATTCCCCACAGGTCCACACACTGTATTTGGTTATGTCACAATCTACTAACCACCCCATTTTAGTTTCTGAAGAAACTGCCCACCACCTCTGAACAAGAAGGCTCTGAATACCTCTGGAAGGAACAGGACCTGCAAAAATCCAGGTATCTGCAGCTAGCCCCTTTTGGGTTCAGCCCATGCACCTGATTTAGGCAGCCTCGGCAGAGCTCCAGCAAGGACAGCCCAGCTGCCCGGGAACTAACTCAAGGATGGGGCAGAGGCAGGAAGGCTCTGAGGCCATGTGCAACCCTGGGGGTGGGGATGGATGCAGGAGCACAGCCAGGGCAGTTCACAGAGGCACCATCGCCTTAATTGCACAGGTGCAAGGTGGCCATGGTAAAGGGCCTGAGTACCCCACCAGCCTAGCTCCTTGCTTGAGCCCAGCCTGCTGGCACACCTGGCTTCCTCCCGTGACTCACCCGCCAACACCTGCTCAGTACTTCAGCCGGCCGCAGGCTTAGCCCACAAGAGCAGCTGGGCTGGGGGCTAGGAGTCAGGCCCAGGGCCTCAGCTCCTGGAAGGGAGCCAGAGCTTCTTGGCCTAGCGTGTGATCCCTTTAGAAGGCAAGAGAAGGCAAGGAGAAAGAGGGAGGAAGTTCTGGGCGAAGAGAGGCACCATCTGGGGCTTCCCTGAAACCAAAGCTGTGCCTCCTTGCTTCCCAAGTCTGGGGATAGCTTCCAAAAGAGCCTTGCCTGCTCTGGGTTCACAGCTGTGCAAGCACAGGGGCCAGGCTCTGCAGCCCACGCCCCCAGAGTGGCCCTCAGGCAGGCCGGCTGGTTTCGTCCCTCTGGGACCCTCCCTGAAGGCCTGGGCAGGGCTGGGCAGGGGAGCACAGGACAGCCCAGCCGTTTGCTTGCTGGCTGTGTTTTTCCTCTCGCTCCACAAAAACAGCTTCACTGCGCTCAGCGTAGCAAGCTGCCACCTCTGTGATCTGCCTGCTGTTGTATCTTCTGATTGCTAATTTTCTTTTGTTTCCAGCTCTGGATGCTGCAGCCAACAGACAAACCCCTCTCTGGGATAAGGGTTATTTGGATTTCATGGGTTCCCGTGGGGCCAGGGCCAGACCAGCAGCATCCCCCCAGCCCCTGCCCAAGAGCAGGCTCTGCAAATGCTCAGCCCACTAGGGCAGACACCTGGGGCAAGAAGCAGTGATTACCTGTGCTCAAATCCTGGCAGCTGCCCCTGTCCACCCAGGTAGGAAGTCATGACCTTAAGTATCTGCAAGGCCCCAGATGGCCCCAGTGATCTTCCTTTGCTCCTTGGAGCCTGTGCCCTGACTGGGCCTTCTGATCAGACACCGGAAATCTGCCCTTCTTCCTTCCAGGCTTGGCTCCAATCCACCTTCTCAGTGAGGCCCACCCAGAGCAGTTATCGCCTTCTAACAGCTGATGTAGTTTACTTGCTGATTGTGCTTTTATTTATTACCTGTTTATCCTCCCTCATCAGAACGTGAGCTTCGGAGGGCAGTTTTGTTCTTTACAGTGTCCCCAGAGCCCAGCACACGGCATTTAATAAGTATTTGTTAAATGAATAGTAGGTCAGGTCTACAGTTAACCTTTCCCTAGTAAATTTAAACTTTTATCCCCCTTGGTTTCGGCCACTTGAAATCATGTTTTCCAAACCCCAAACTGGAGGACATGGTTTGACAAAAAGAAGTTTGCTGTGTGGCCTGGGATAAGAAACAAACTCCCGATTTCCCCCCCAAAGCTGCTCCACCTGTGTCTTGCCTAGCTCGGTAAAGGGCGTCTCCATCCTGCCCGTTGCATAGATCTTTGAGAGCTCCTCATCTCTCATACCCGCGTCCCACTGGCTGCATTTGGGAAATGCACCTAGAATCTGATCACCTCTCACCACCTATGCTGCTATCTCCCCAGACCAAACCGCCATCATCTCATCAGGATTACTGCAATCGCCTCCTTCTTCCCTGCCCCCAACAGTCTATCCTCAACACAGCAGCCAGAGTAATTTTTAAAAATTCAACAAATCAGATTTTGTTTTTCCTCTGCTCAAAACATTCCAGTGGCTCTCCACCTAGGCGTCAAAGTCAAAACCCTTACCATGGCCTTGAGGCTCTGGCTGACTGAGCCTCCACTTACCTGTATGACCTCAACTCCTACTACTCCACTCTCAGCCCTCTGCTCCATCCACACTAGCCTGTTTTTCCTCCAACCGGAGAGGCTCTTGCCTACCCCAAGGCCTTTGCACTTGCTATTCCCTGACTGGGATGCTATTCCCCAAGAAACCTGACTCCTTTAGGTCTGTGCTCAAATGTCCCTTTCTCTGTTCACCCTTATAAAATAGCATCCCCTCAACACTCCCTCTCCCCTTTATCTGGCTTTATTTTTCTCCATAGCACTTATCACCACTTGGTATTTCAAATATTTACTTCTTTTTTTTTTTTTTTTTTAAAGATGACCGGTAAGGGGATCTTAACCCTTGACTTGGTGCTGTCAGCACCACGCTCACCCAGTGAGCAAACCGGCCATCCCTATATGGGATCCGAACCCATGGCCTTGGTGTTTTCAGCACCGCACTCTCCCGAGTGAGCCACGGGCCGGCCCCCAAATATTTACTTCTTTCCTGGTGCCTGTGTCTGCCTCTCCCTGGATGGTGAGTTTCATGAGGAAGACACTGAGTTCTGTTCTGCTGTATCTGCAGTGCCCAGAGCAGTATCTGGAGCACTCTGGTGCCTGAGGATATTCCCAGGATTTGCAGGAACAACAGGAAACACAGTTTGACCCTGGGAATCTCCTGGAAAATGCAAGCCTCGGGATTGTTGCATCCTGACCTTCCACAAAACTCCTGTCCCTCCAGTTCAGTTCCCCAGCATCTGCTCCTGCTCCTGGGGCCTCAGACTGCAGCTTGAGGGAGACGCAGAGCCAAGCAATTCAGGCATTGGCAACTCTTCCTCATGGGCGATACCTGCTGAGTGGTGCCCTGTGAATCGTTCTGCTCAGATCTAAGCGCAGGTGCTCTGCTCTAACGAGTCCACTCTCAACCCTTGCACCCCCTTCACAGTGAATCAATCAATAAGATGTATCGAGCACTTGGGCATCGATGAGGGAGAGGAAGAGATGGTCCCAATCTTCCTCTCTGAGACCCAGGGGTCAGTAGGGCATTTTCAGTGTGAAGCAGCAGGTGTGGTCTAGGCTGCCAAGGCCAAGAAAGGGGCTGGAGAGGCTAAGGTGGCATCCTGGAGCCGTCAAGGGCAGGACTCTGATCCCAGCTCCACTGCTTCCCTGCTGTGTGACCCTGACAAGTTTCCCCACTTTGGTTTCCCCATCTGTAAAATATGGATGATAGTAACAGTCCTTACGGCCCAAGGCTGCTATGAGGAGCAAGCACTGAGAACGACACCTGGGACCCAGGGAGTGCTACACACAAGGCAGCTACCACTACTTTGGGTGGGGTGTGACGGGTGGAGAGGTGGAAGGGGCCAGTGTACAGCCAAAGCTGCACCATGCAGAGGGCCAGGCTGGCCCGCAAACAGGGCTGCATTGGGCAGGCCATGTTGGAGAGGTGTTGGGAAAGGGGGCATGTGGCTTGACATGGGCAGCTGGCCATGGGGATGGGGACAAGATGGCCCTTTGAAAGTGTATTTCAAGGGCCGGCCCGGTGGCGCACTGCTACAGTGCACCGCTTGGGAGCGCGGCGACACTCCCGCCGAGGGTTCAGATCCCACATACAGACCGGTTCCCGCTCACTGGCTGAGCGAGGGGCGGGCGAAGCACCGAGGGTTGCGATCCCGTTGCCAGTCCCGGTCCGGTACGGGCGCGACACTGAGGGTTGCGATCCGTTGCCGGTCACGAAAAAATACAAAAAGGGA